TTTTTTTTTTTTTTGAACAACAATAATCCCCTGCCATTTTTCTTTTGGTTTTCTCTTCTTTCTTATGTTTCTTCCTTTTGTTTCTTTTCTTTTGGTTCCTTTGTACCTTTCCCCTATTTTCTTTTTCTTTGTTTGTTGTCTTATGACTCTTTACTTTCGTACAGTTTCTTCTCTTAAGGTCTATCTGGCTATCTGTTTCTTCCGTTTTTACGTATTTTCGTTGTCCATCTTTTTCTTAGGCAAAAACCCTTCTTAAGCCCCTCAGCTTTTCCAATCGTTAGTGACCAGCCCCTAAACTAAAAATAAAGCAAATAAACCCTTTTAACCCCCGTTTAAAGCAACTAAGCCCCTCAATGCCGTTTGTTTAATGGCTTGTGTGGCATTTAATTTACAAGTTGGATGCAATGTGTCATTAATAGTCCATGAGTAGGAATTATTTAGCTTAAACAAAGTAGTTTAGGCAAAGAAGAGAAAAAACTAAGATCTAGTTTTGGCAGAGGAGAGTAGAAGGAGAGATTTTTAGGTTGACGGAGAAAAGGTGGAGAGATTTGGTTCAGGCAAAGGAGAAAGGAGATGAAAAGGGGGAGAGAAGAGTAGAGAAAGAGGTCGAAATTTCTTGTTAGGTTTGAGGAGAAGGCTAGCCTAAGCAAACATGCATACTTTTAGGTTTAGTTTAACAGTAATATTTTGTAACTGTATTTATAAGTTTTTTTTTATCTTTTAATATCTTAAAAATATATAAAATATTAATTGAAATTAACTTATTTATGATAAAATTAAAAGATTTTAATTTTAGAAAAAAACCCTTAAGAAAAATCTAGATAAGTAACCGACTGGTGATTTCCTATGTCGGTCATTTTCACGTGATTCGTCATTTTACGAGGGATGAGGTTGCACTCTTTCGAGATGCCTAAATAATAAAGATACCAATTAACTTTGGTACTTTTCACCAAAAACAATAATAATAATAATAAAGGCACCGATTACCCTTTGGTCCACTTTGCCGGCGCCGATGTTCTTCCTCTTCTTGATTACCGTTTGGTCCACTTCGCCGGCGCCGACGGTCCTCCTTTTCTTGGTTCGTGAACATTGAATTTTAAATTATGAATTAGGTTTAGGTTTAACAACTAAAATTTAAATTATTTAAAATTTTTTAATTTATGTTTAAAAATATAATAAATATATTTTTTGTTATTAATTTATATAAAAATAAAAAAATTAATATTAATATTAATATTAATATCAAATAAGTAAATTTAATTAAATAATTAATAAAAATTAAATTTTTACCCTGTCTTTCGTTGCAAC